GTGGTTCCAAAGATCCCTTCTTTGCCCACCCTGGCATTGAAGTCGCCAAGCACGATTTTGATATCATGACGGGGGCAGCGCTCGTACGTGCGCTCCAAGCGCTCATAGAAGAGATCCTTAGATGCCTCATCCTTCTCTTCCGTCGGGGCATGGGCGCAGATGAGCGAGATGTTGAAGAATCTCGCTTTGATGCGGATTGTGGCTAGACGCTCGTCCACCGGGGTGAACGACAGTACTCGGCGACGGAGTCTCTCTCCCACCACAAATTCAATTCCGAATGTGCGCTCCTTTACATGGCAGCTGTAGTAGATGTCGCAAGGCCCCAGACATTGTTTGCCTTGCCCCGTCCAACGCATTTCTTGGATGGCGGTGATGTCAGCTTTTGTCCTTACGAGGACATCAACCAGCCGGGCAGAGGCACCTTCCCCATTAAGGGTCCGGACATTCCAGGTGCATGCCCTCAAATCGTAGTCCTTTAAACATTTGCCGTGGTCGTCATCATAAGGGGGGGTCGCATCCTAGGCTTTGCCTTGCTTCTTCACTGGAAGTGGTTTCGTGGCGGGTCCCAAGCCCAGCGCACAACCCATTTCTGGGACGGGGGTGGTTTCGCAACCAAATACACGTTTATATAGCGAGCCGCTTGCTCCAAGCAGACACCCGCTTGCAACCGCACCTACTGGTGAATAGACGCTGCAGACTTCAGTGAGCCCTTAAACCGAATAAGTCAGAGTGGCCACACCGAAGCTCCCTCTCTTTCTGCCGTGACCCAAGGCTCCACTCGGATTGGTTACCGCATCTCGCACATGGGTTGCTCACGTTGCCCAGAGTGCGCGAACGAGGACGCAAGAGTCGGGATTGAGTATAGCCATGCAACTGTAACTGCATACCCAGCGCAATGACTATACCCCATTGCACTTCAACCCGCTATCACTGGCCTCGTTTATTGATAAAATTACCCTTATTGAAGAATTATCAGACGAATGCCTCACTACAACATTTATTGTATTTTTGAAATCCAAACTTGAAAGTAAAGCTCGCGATTCCCTACCAACGCAAATAAGCTGAGTTAGTCAAATTAAAGAAGCGCTGTCAAACAAAATAAAACCAGATAACTCGAAAGTTGTCGCTGGTAAAATTGCAGCCTGGAAAGTGCATAACAACAATTATTCAGATTTTGCGAAACAGGTAGAGGAGCTCGCAGATTCCCTGGAGCGTTCGCTTATTATTGAAGGAATGACACAAGCGAAAGCTCACGAGATGGCAGTTGAGCAAACAATAAATGTTTGTAGGCTCAACAGCCGTTCAGATATGGTAAAGTCAATACTAGCATCGTCAACCTTCAGCGACTCGAAAGATGTTGTAGCGAAGATGATTGTGGAGCACGACAATATAATCAAAGAGCGGCAGGTGTTGGCTTTTAGGTCACGTCCCATACGGACAAATAATTTTCGAGGAGGTTATAGAGGCAGCAATAACTACAGATATCACAATAACAATTTTAGGTTTAACGGCAATTCAAATAGACACAGCGGCAATACTAGCTATCGAAACAACAATCAGAATAGGAATAATAGTTTCAGTAATAGACGAAATAACTACAATAATAGTAACAACAGTCATGCTTCAAGCAGTAAAAATAACAATCAAACGCCGAAGCCCCTCAGGCGCGAACACTGGGAGAGCTAGACTTAAAAACTAACGACTTTTTATCTCAACTATTCCGATTTCATTGAAATAAATTGTAGTGATTCTCACAAACAATGCACTTTTTTAGTAGATTCTCAAGCACACATTTCGCTTATAAAATTTTCAAGCCTAACAAGCAAATCCGCAATAAACAGCAATAACATTATTAATATCACGGGCGTAACATCAGCAACGGTCCAAACCTTGGGCACAATAAATACAAATTTGGTAGTATCAGACATTTTCATTCCGCACACTCTTCACGTTGTAAATGACAGCTTTAACATTCCTTCGGACGGCATACTCGGAAAAGACTTTAAAAATAAACAAATGCATAATTAACTATGCAAACGATAACATAACCATTGGTTTGGGGACAGAAAGGATCAGCGTTTCTATTTTGCACGGTACTACTACCGACAGCTTTGTAATTCCACCTAGATGCGAAGTTTTTCGGTTATTTAAGTTGGGTAAATCCAAAAACCCTGTTTTTGTAGACGCTCAGGAAGTTTGTAGTGGTGTTTTTACAGCGAAATGTATCGTTGACACGAAAAACCCGATACTAAAACTAATAAACACTACGGACGAAGTAAAATACGTAAGAAATTTCAATATTCAAACCGAAGACATAACAAACTTCAACGTTTATAAAATTAACGAACCCACATCTGATCCGAAACGCATCGTAGAACTAAAATCGATTTTAGAAAAACAAGTATCCAATTATGCTAAAAATAAATTGCTTGATCTTTGCTCAAAATATTCCGACGTATTTGCCTTAAAATCCGACCTTATGACTCAATGAACAACTTTTACGAACAAAAATTGAGACTGATAGACAAAACACCAGTTTACATAAAAAACTACAGATTGCCATATTCACAGCGCGAAGAAATAAACAAACAAGTCGATAATTTATTGAAAAACAATTTAATAGAGGAAAGCTACTCCAATTATAACAGTCCTCTAATTTTAGTACCGAAAAAAGATCCAACAGGTCAAAAATCGTACCGTATGTGTGTAGACTTTCGAGCAGTAAATAAAAAACTAATTGCAGACAAATTTCCGCTAGCACGTATAGACGACATTTTAGATAACCTTGGAAGAGCAAAATATTTTTCAACTCTGGATCTGTATTCTGGTTTTCAACAAATCCCGTTACATAAATATTCTAGAGATATAACATCTTTTAGCACTGATCGGGGAGCTTTCCGTTGGAAGGTCTTGCCTTTTGGTCTTAATGTAGCACCTAACTCGTTTTCAAGAATGATGTCTATAGCATTTTCCGGTATTTCACCTAATCAAGCTTTTATGTATGTCGACGATGTAATAGTTATTGGATGCAGTGAAGCGCACCATTTTAAAAATCTAGAAAAAGTGTTCGAAACTTGCAGAAAGTTCAACTTGCGACATAACCCAAATAAATGTAATTTTCTACGATCTGAGGTAACTTTCTTAGACACAAGTGCTCATCTAGAGGTCTACTGCCAGATGATACAAAAATAGAAGCCATTAAAAAGTACACAAAGCCATGCGATAAAGACGCAGTGCGTAGATTCGTAGCGTTTGCAAACTATTATAGACGGTTTATACCTGACTTTGCTTCTCTGGCAGCACCCTTAAATCGTTTGAGCAGGAAAAATTTAGAATTTAAATGAGATAACTCCTGTGGGCAAGCTTTTGAAAAACTTAAATCTTCTTTAATGTCTCCAAAACTTTTACAGTATCCTGACTTTAGCAAAGAATTCATAATTACAGTCGACGCATCTAAAACCGGATGCGGTGCAATTTTAAGCCAAAACCACAACGGCAATGACTTACCAATTTGTTTTGCTTCTAAGGCTTTCAATAAAGCAGAACAAAAAAAGGCAATTATCGAACTCGAACTTCTAGCAATATATTTCGCAATCAAGCAATTTCGGCCATACGTTTATGGCACACACTTTACTGTAAAATCTGATCACCGACCATGAGTTTACCTTTTTAATATGAACGACCCTTCGTCAAAACTCTCGCGAATAAGACTGCAACTTTCAGAATACAATTTTACAATACAATATATTAAAGGCAAAACAAACGTTGGTGCGGATGCACTATCACGAATCACAATTGACGAACTTAAAGACACAACAAAACATATTTTAGCAGTAAAAACTAGATCGATGACAAAACAAAACGTAGAAATGCAACCACGGTACGAAGAAAATCACACAAATAACTCCACAGTACAAGTTTACGACAAATTTTCTTACAATTTTTCAAAAAACATTCCACGGATAAAAACAAAAATTACTTACGATAAAAATGATGAAATTTCAAGTATTAATATATATGCGCATTTAAAACATAGAAAACTCGAGTTAATCAATTTTGAGGTTGTTAATGTAGATTATATATATATTTAAGTTTATTTTTAAATAAAACTATATTAATGTTTATATATTGAAAGTTTATTTATTAATAATCAAAAATTTTCTTTTCAACTACAAACAAATTCATAGAACCATAAATTGAAAATCAAGAATTTAAACAAGTATAAAAACATACAATAAAATACCCTACATATACTCCCCCTCCAGTAAAACGATAAATTAATTAATATTAAATGTTATTTTCCTTTTTGTATTTGGAATTGTTAGTGAATTACAGTTTTGTGTTGTATCAGAAATTATATTTGCAGGTTTGAGTAAATCTATTGAAACTGTTTTAATCATATTTCCATATTGAATTTTGAATACTTTACTATTTTTCGAAATAATTTTAAATGGTCCTTCATAAGGTGATTGTAAATTTGATTTGTGAATAACTATAACAAAAACGTATTCACAAGTATCCTAGTTCTTTGGAACAAAAGAGTATCCTTTATTGTGATGTACCACCTTTGATCTAACATTTGAAAAATATTTTCTTAGCTTAAAAAGAATTTCATTTGTATTATCAACTTCATTATTATAACTGTTCGAAACAACTAATTCACCTGGTAATCTTAATGTTTGCCCAAAAACTAATTCTGCAGAAGAGCATTTTAAATCTTCTTTAATAGACGTACGTAGTCCTAATAATATCCAAGAAAGAATTTCAGACCAGTGGGTAGAATCATCTGAAGCTGTAATAGCAGTCTTTAATGTCCTATGAAATCTTTCAATCATTCCATTTGATTGAGGATGATATGGGGACGTATGAATTTTGTGTGATCCTAACAATTTAGTCAATTCTGTAAACATTTTTGATGTAAATTGTGATTCTTGATCTACTGTTATATAAAGTGGAATGCCAAAACGAGGAACGTAATTTTGAACAAATATTGTTGCTATAGAATTAGCTGAAATATCCCTAAGTGGATATGCCTCTGGCCATCGTGTGTCTATCAATGATAGTTAAAATGTAACGATTTTCTTTTGACATAGGTAATGGACCAACAAGATCCATATGAATATGTTCAAATCGTCCAGATGGAATGTTAATTTTTTGCACAGGCGTCTTAGTATGTTTAGAAATTTTGGATTTTTGACAACTTATACAAGTAAAAGTCCAATTATTTATTTCTTTGCGCATATTAGGCCAAAAATATTTTGATTGAATCAAACGTCTAGTTGTACGGACACTTGGATGTGATAAAGAATGAATTTTATCAAAAATGATTTTTCTCATAGAATTCGGAACAAATGGTCTAAAAGGCCGTTGAGAAATATCACACCAAATATTAAGGTTAAGTACCGGAATATTAATTTCTTTTAAATTACTGTTGGAATTTTGATCAGATATTATGCCATAAAGCGTTTGATCTTTTTGTTGTTCCTCAAATAATGTTTGAAAATTAATGTCTTGGGCTAAAATCGTGTTAACATCTGGAATACGTGAAAGGGTATCAGCAACTGTGTTTTCTTTTCCAGGAATATATTGAATGTCGTCTGTAAATTGTGCAATGTACTCTAAGTGTCGAATTTGTCGAGGTGATCTGTCTGATTTAGAATTTAGAATATGTGTTAAAGGTTTATGATCAGTGTAAACAGTGAATGTTCTACCTTCTAGAAATGAAATTTCATAACTAAGAAAATCTAATTTACTTGTTCCGAAAATGCATTTACTAGGTTTAATATTCAAGTTATATTTTCCAAGTCTTTCAAAAACAGATTTTAAATGCTCAATATGCTGAACTTCATTATCACTTGCAACAAGAATATCATCAATATAGACAAATACAAATTCCAAACCAGAAAATACTTCGTTAATAAAACGTTGAAATGTTTGTGCACTGTTTCGTAGACCAAAAGGCATCCGAACGAATTCAAACATTCCAAATGGTGTAGTAATTGCCGTTTTATGTATATCTTCTTCAGCCATCGGTATTTGATGATACGCACGAACAAGATCAATTTTGGAAAAAATTTGTTTATTTTTTAAATCAATAGCTAAATCATGAATGTGAGGTAACGGATAACGATCTGGAATAGTAATGCAATTAAGTCTTCAGTAATCTCCACAAGGTCTCCAATCATTTGGTTCTTTCTTAGGAGCTAAATGTAAAGGAGATGCAATGTGAGAGTGTGAAGGTCTACATATACCTGTTTTAACTAAAAATTTAAATTCTGTTTTTGCTATTTTAAATTTAATTGGATCAAGACGACGTGGTTTAGAGAAAGGTAGCACTCCTTTTGTTTCAATTCTGTGAACCGTTTGGTGTTGTACTGGTTTAGTGTAATCTGGTTCACAAGTAATTGAAGGAAAATCATTTAAAAGTTTAGAAAATATATTTTCAGTAATTGGTATCCTTATTGAAAATATATCGCAAAAACCAGATGATCCAGAAACTTTCAATTTTGTTGTTGAATCAGTAATTTCTCTATTTTTAATATCAACAATATACCAAATTTCTCTAAAAAATTAGCGCCTATGATTGGTGTTGCAATATCCGCTAATATGAAAGGGAATTCAAAATCACGTTCTCATCCTAGGTTAATTTTTAAAAGTTTTGTACCATATGTTTTAATAAAAGAGCC